GCTCAAGCAATCTGCCTGCCTCAGCCTCCCAAAGTGCTACGATTACAGGTGTGAGCCACCTCACCCCACCATTAAAAAAAAATTTTTTTTTCTTCTTCTTTTTTTTTTAAGATGGGGTTTTACCCTGATGGCCAGGCTGGTCTTGAACTCCTGACCTCAGGTGATTCACCCACCTCGGCTTCCGAAAGTGCTAGGATTACAGGCTTGCGCCACTACACCCGGCCCCAAAAAAATTTTTTTTAAAGAGACACAGGCCAGGCGAGGTGGCTCACACCTGTAATCCCAGCTCTTTGGGAGGTCGAGGCAGGCAGATCATGAGGTCAAGAGATTGAGACCATCCTGGCTAACATCGGGAAACCCCGTCTCTACTAAAAAATACAAAAATTAGTTGGGCGTGGTGGCACAGGCCTGTAGTCCCAGCTACTCCAGGAGAATTGCTTAAATCCGGGAGGCGGAGGTTGCAGTGAGCCGAGATTGTGTCACTGCACTCCAGCCTGGCGACAGAGCAAGACTTCGCCTCAAAAAAAAAAAAAAAAAAAAGACAGGCTCTTGCCACGTTGTCCTGGCTGCTCTTGAACTCATGGGCTCAAAGTGATCCACCTGCTTTGGCCTCCCAAAGTGCTGGGATTATAGGTATGAGCCACTGTGCCTGGCCAAATTTTTAATTAAAAAAAAAATGTTTAATTGTTGAAACCCCTGCAACAAACCTTGAATCTCTTATTCACCGTATTTTGTAGCTCAGGGGAAATTATCTGTAATCATTTCACAGCTAGTAAGAGCTGGAATTTGAATCTAAGTTTGCCTAACTCAGTAGTTCTCAACTGGAGGAGATTTTGGCCCCCAGGAGACATTGGGTAACGTCTGGAGATACTTTTGGTTGTCAAAGCTGGGAGCTGGCCGGGCGTGGTGGCTCACGCCTGTAATCCTAGCACTTTGGGAGGCCGAGGTAGGTGGATCACCTGAGGTCAGGAGTTCAAAACCAGCTTGGCCATCATGGTGAAACCCCATCTTATTTTTTAAAAAAAATAATAAAAATAAAACAATTAAAAAAAAAAAAACTGGGAGCTGGGGGTGGTTGGGTATTGCTGCTGACATGTAGGATGGAGGCCAGGGACTGCATGGATGTCCTAATGTGCACCAGGTACCTTCCCACAAGAAATTCTCCTGCTGAAAATGCTGTTAAAACTCATGCTCTGAATGAAGAGACCCCCAAACAGGCTTTGTGTGAGCAACATGGCTGCGTATTTGCCCGGGTGCGGGCAGGCTGAGTCCAAACAGAGAGTCAGCGGAGGGCGGTGGAATCAGAGTTGGTTTTATAGGTTCGGGGTAGGCAGTGGAAGGTTACAGAAGTTACAGTTAAAGGTGGTTTTTGCAAGCTGGGAGGGGGCCATAGGGTCTGCAGTCACGAGGTTGACCAAGGTCAGTTATAAAGTCCAATGGCCTTATCAGTTGAGGCGGGAATAAGGAACCACAGAAGAATGTTTCAAGTTAATTAGGTGCTGCAGGGTTGGTCATTCTTCCCCTTTTCATGGTCTTCCAGTTACTTCAGATCTTCTGCTCCCAGGAGGTCATCCTGGGGTGTCCTTGCTGGTCACGGGGGTCGTCATGGCCCCACTTAGGGTCTGGCCTATGGTGCAGCCATTCAAAGAACCTTGCAAATGCCACTGGGTGTTGGGGTTGAGAAACCCTGGACTCTAAGCCTGTGCTTTTGGCCTTGAGGGTGGGGTCAGTGTGCAGAAGAAAATGGAAAAGGGCCACCCCAAGGGCCTTGAGCGGGAAGGGGATGGGATTGCGATGCTCGGGGTAATGGAGAATCGGGGCCCCTAGTGAGGTGTCTTTCTTCCAAGCTTGGCCCGGGCCCTGTTCCATTTCTCCCAGCCTTGCCAGGTCAGCCCTAGGACTTCACACTAAGATTGTCCTGGCGTGACCCCGACTCCCAACTCAGGGTTGGGGCAAATATTTATCTGGGTCTTACTTCAGCACTTCCCAGCCTACGACACTGGCTTCTGCGGCCAACGTGTTCCACCTGGAGTCCTTCAGCAGTTCCCCGTTAGCAATTAGGAGCCTTGCTGGGAAGGGGGGTGGCTATGTGGGTAGGGCACCGCTGAAAGCAAAAAACAGAGCCGCTCAGGGAGCAGGTGGCAGCTGAAAACAGAAGTGGAGCCAATGGGCAAAACCAGGAGCATCCCATCAGCAGGCCCCCCTGTCCAGGGAAGACCAGAGGAACTCTGAAGCAGGAAAGGCCACAAAGAAGCCTCTGGAACACCGAACTGGGAAGGAAGTGGTGGTTTATTCGGCCCGGAGCTGCGTTGGGCCTGAATGCCCTAACAGCGCAGACCCCCAACAAAGAAAATCCTTACCCTTTTAAAGGCTTACAGCTCTAGATATTACATGCGAAAGGGTCTTGATCCGTGAAGTAGGCGTGGGGTGTGTGACTTAGGTGGGGGTGTGATCGTGTTTAAGCGAAAACAAGCCGGGCGCGGTGGCTCAAGCCTGTAATCCCAGCACTTTGGGAGGCCGAGGTGGGTGGATCACGAGGTCAAGAGATCGAGACCATCCTGGTCAACATGGTGAAACCCCGTCTCTACTAAAAATACAAAAAATTAGCTGGGCATGGTGGCGCGTGCCTGTAATCCCAGCTACTCAGGAGGCTGAGGCAGGAGAATTGCCTGAACCCAGGAGGCGGAGGTTGCGGTGAGCCGAGATCGCGCCATTGCACTCCAGCCTGGGTAACAAGGGCGAAACTCCGTCTCAAAAAAAAAAAAAAAAAAAAAGCGAAAACAGTGCCTTCCAGAAAGATTCCTCCACACCATACCCGCGATGTATGGATGGGATTGTGGTGAGCAGTGGGGGTCTCGTCCTTAACCCCGCCGGCGGTGCCCTCCAGTTGCTCCTCTGGCTGACTTCGAACTTCTTTTGAAATGTAACGCAGAGGGCTGAAGGGGAAACGGCGTTAGAAGCAGAAAAGGACTGGCGGTCTCCTTCCTCAACTCGAGTAGGATGTAGGGGGCCTCTGGCCTGGGAAGCAGCGTTCTGAGCCGCTGGTTTACTTCCCATAGGCATTCCTCCTCCCTAAGCTGGGTCCTCAGGTTCACTGCACCCTCCCAGCCCCAGCCGCCATTCTGAACCTCCCCAATACTGGCCTCCCCCTCGACCAGGTAGAGTCTAGCCCAGAGGGTCTGAACTGACAGTGCCAACAGGAAATACCTCTTTCCAAGCCCAGAACCTCTGAAGCACTGAGGAGCAGATGGGGGCTGGGGTTGGGGGAGATAGTCTTGGAGTGATGGGGGAAAAGAAAGATCATACAATCACATCCCCCATGTTCTTTCCTTCGCCACCCATGGGGGTGGATCAGGGGATGGGGGAGGGGAAGCAAGGAGGAGGATGTGGTAACAGCTGATTCGTCCCCAGAGGTCACACTTTCCAACAATCAGCTGTTACTGGGGCGGAAGGCAGGAAGTTTCCTTAAAGGCGCAATGTTCTGAACGTAGGCTCAGAATTCTGGAGCTCCGAGGAACCTTATCAATTACCTGATGGAGCGAGTATTTATCAGAGGGAACGATCTCACCCTCCAGGCTCATCTCTCCTGCTCAGTTCCTCTCAGACCCTCTTTGGAGCTTAAGGAAAAGTCATGGATTTCAGTCCACACGTTCCTCTTCGGGGGGTCGCGGGGAGTGATGAGGTGGGGCTGGTCTCAGGCTTGCCCCTTTAAAAAAGCGGACCAGCAGCTTTTGCCAAGTCATTGGGTTCATTTCAGTTTGTGCCCATCCCCCGCTCACCTAGACTCTGATTGGCCCCTGGGGAAGGAGCAGCCTGCTCATTGGTCTCCACCTTTGAAATCTCTTCCCTAAGTAGGCCTGAGTCAGTGAAGAGCTTTGGAGGGCGGGACTGAATAGGGGTTAATCAGAGGATGCGATTGCTGACCATTTGCACTTTGGCATGGCCCATCCCCTAATTTCTGACCAGAAGCCCTCCCTCTACCTTAAGGTGAGGACTGTGCTATGAATCTTTTGTTAGAAAGCTACCTCTTGGGAGGCTGGGACTGGGAAGAGACATCCAAGAAAAAAGCCTCCTCTGGTTAGGAAGGGCTCCCAGGAGGAGCGGGCTGGGCTGGGCTGGGCGAGGTGGGCATCCGCCATCCTCCAAAAGCCGCAGAGTTCTGGCCGCCCTGGGCGCTGATGCTCTGCCCACTCCTGCTCTTGGGTCAGCTCCACCTTTCCTTAAAGAGCTAGAGCGTCCTGCGGAGGCCGGCGAGTCCGTTTGGGGGATGTCTAAAAGAAGCACTCACGGCTCCAACACGGAGGGGCGGTCGCCCTTTAAGGACTTCCCTGGGCTGGATTCCGAGCTCAGTTTAAAAATGCCAACTCACAGAGCGCGCTGGGTTCTGGGAATGAGGGTGTCGGGCTGCGAACTACACGGACCGGCATGCACTGCACACGCAGACGCCGTGACTTTCGCCTGCTCTTTAGGACTCTCGTTTGACGTAGCGCTTTTCTAAGCAGGTCGCTGACGCGGAAGGCTGGGCCACGCCCTTCCGTCTATTGGCCGGCTCCGGAGCTGGTGGGCTTGGCTTGGTGCAATGCCGCCTGGCAAAGGGATGGCCTCCTTGCCAATCAGAGCCAGGGCGCCCGGAGAGGCGGGACCAGGGCGAGGCCCCGGCGCCCCCGGGTGGGCGTGGCCACGTTGCCCAGCAGTGGGCGGTGATTGGCCCTGGACGGCGCTTTCGCAGCTCGTGCGTCACGACGCCGCCAGCTGATCGGAGTCTGTAGCCGGTGTGTGCTGGGCGCCGAGAAGAGACAGCGCCGCCGGCCGTGGGGAGCGGACGCAGTGATTTGCTCCCCTCCGCGCAGCAGCCCCCACACCCAGCACCAGGTGGGTGTGAGCTGACGACCCGGTCACGCAGCGGGAAGCCGCGGCGACGGGATGGAGGGCGAAAGTGGGGTCCGGGCGGCCACACCCTGCCCTTCCGTGGAGGAGAGAGGGGGCGGCGGGGGCAGGGGCGCTGCAGGGAGAGGGGCCTGGACTGGCCGGGCGAGTGTGTCAGAAGCGGCGAAGAAAGAGTCCGGGGTGGGAGTCGTGGCGGAAGGGCTGGCGGAGTATCGGCCGGGGGCGTGGGGGAAGCGCAGGGGCCGGAGGGCCGGGGGAGGCTCACCCGGCGCCCCCCGGCCTAAGGATACAGGGACCGGCCATCTATCTAGCCTGGGGAGGCTCTGGACTCCCCGAGCGGGCGGCGAGGAGGTTCTCTGCCGCCACCGGCGTTCACTGGGTCAGGGCCAGTTCAGCGCCCTGGCAGGGAAGGGGTCTCTGGGCGGGCCGGCCCCTCCTCTCGTTCCCTCCGGGGGATGTTATGTAAGGGGGGAGGGGAGGCGAGTAGGGGGCGGCGGTGCCGGGGCCTTATGCAACCCAAAGGTTAGGGTTTCACCGCGGTCGGGCGGGGGGAAGAGGGCAAGAGGAGGGCCTGGAAACTCTAACCCCCGCTCCCCAGACTAACTGGCCGTCTTGGGCCGAGAGAAGGTCACCTCTGCACCTCCCCCCAGCCTATCCTGTCGTGAGGCCCCTAGCCCAGGCCTGGCCCCGACTGCCTGGGAAGCCGGCTGGCTGGGTGGGGCGCCTGGGTTAGTCATCACTGGGCTGCCTCTCTCCCCACCTCCCGGCCAACTCTTGGCCCCTCCCCATGGCCTAGGCTGTCGCCCCCACCTCCCTCCGGCCCTGGTTCCAGCCTCCAACTCTTTTGGCCTGTCATCCTGGCTGTCAGACTGGACGAGGAGCTGTCAGAGTGCCAGGGGGTTGATGGAGCAGCTGGTCAGAGGGTCAGTGCCCTGGGCCCACCCCACCCTGCAGCCAAGGGCACCTGCTTGGCACAGACTCTCAGCAGCTGCCGAGTCCTCTGGGCTGAACGGAGCCATCTCAGACAGAGGAAAGTCGGACAGAGTTGGACTGGTCACCTAGGGAAAGGAAGACACCACAAAGTTCACGCCTCCCAAGAGGGTTTCGGAATTTGAACCGCGCCCCGTATCCCCAAATCTTTCTTACACTCTGAGTTTAGAAATTCCAAGGCAAGACCGCCCGGGCCCCTCTGCCCACCGTGGGCCATGCCCTTGGACCGAGTGTCGGCACACACCCACCCTCCCCAGCTCACATCCCCCGAGCCTGCCACGCCCCCAGCCCCCTCCCTGGGCCATGCTGCAGGGCCCGGCTTTTCCTGCTGATTCATGCGTTGGAACTGTGGGGGCGGGGCTTGCAACTTGGAACAAAGTTCAGACATGGAGGGGCCGGCAGACAGCCTGGAATTCATACCAGATGTACCCGGAATGCGCAAGCGGAATGCCTGGCATCCGAGAGGCCTGGAGAAGCTGCCCAACCACCCTGCCCATCCCTCCCTCCCTTCCAGCCTGTGGTCCCCTGTCCGCCCCCTCACAGCCCCAGGAGCCTCTGCTGACCTTCTTTCCAACGCTAGACTTCCTCCCTTCCTCGCTCTTCCCCAACCCAGGGCCCCAGCACACTCCTTCCAGCTCAGCTCCCTGGGAACCAGTCAGTTGGGCCGATCCCTGAACTCACGTTTCTGGACCTGAGGTACCACACTTCTAGCACCTGGGTGCTGGTGGGGTGTGTCCAGGGTCTCAGGCCTGGCCCGCCTGAATGCTGAGGAGGCTGGGCCCCGGGCGCTGCTGGGGCAGGGGAGGGCAGAGCTGGACTGGGTTTGTGTAGACTCCAGTTCGAAAGAAGAGCAAGGGGTCTGTTAGAGCTGCCTTTTCCGCTCGCCGGAGTTAACAGCTTCTGCAGGCCCAGGTCAGAGCTGCAACCCTTCTCTAGAAGCTTGAAGGTCTGTCTGCCGGGTGGGACTCCGATGGCCAGTGGGTCAGTGTCCCTGAACCGGCCTTGCTCACGTGGCTCCCGTTGTTCCTCCCTCTCCCTCTAGGAGCTCGCGCCTCTCACACCCTCACCTGGCTGAGCCGCAGTAGTTCTTCAGTGGCAAGCTTTATGTCCTCACCCCGCTAAAGCTGCCAGTTGAAGAACTGTTGCCCTCTGCCCCTGGCTTCGAGGAAGACAAGGAGGAGCTGCTTTCCCCAGCATCTGGAAGGTGACAGAACCGGGGCTGGGAAGGTCCGCACGGCAGGGTTGGTGATACGTTTTGGGAAAGCTGGAGAGCCTTTGCCCAGATGGGCCCGCAAGGAGCAGTTTTTAGATTAGCGACACTGGCTGAATTGAGAAGGAGAAGGCTCAAACAACCCAAGGTTAGTTGGTCTTTGTGTGGCAGTGGGAAGGCGTGGAGAGAAGAAAACTCTGTCTACCCGACCTTCTTGATCCTCCTTCCTTATTTTCCGTCCTTCCCCACTGGCCTTTCCAGATGAGGTCCAAAAGTAAGTTCACTCTTCAGGGAAAAGTGACGCTAAAACTCAGGTGTGAGCAGGCATCCTTCTGCTCTTTTTTTTTTTTTTTTTTTTGACATGGAGTCTAGCTTTGTCACTAGGCTGGAATGCAGTGGCATGATTCTGGCTCACTGCAACCTCCGCCTCCCAGGTTCAAGCGATTCTCCTGCCTCAGCCTCCCGAGTAGCTGGGACTGCAGGCACCCACCACCACGCCCAGCTAATTTTTGTATTTTTAGTAGAGACGGGGTTTCAGCATGTTGGCCAGGATAGTCTCGATCTCTTGACCTTGTGGTCCGCCTGCCTCGGCCTCCCAAAGTGCTGGGATTACAGGCGTGAGCCACCATGCCGGACTTCCTTCTGCTCTTACTTTTCCCTGCATTCCCTCAGGCTGGCCCAGACTCTAGACTTGTGGCGTTTACCTGTGTCTGGGACCCTTAGATCTCCTGTGAGATGGGGAGTCACACAGATGAGTGGGCATGAGAGAATCAAGCCCACCTGTGTAGACTCAGAACCTGGGCTGGCCTCCCCCTGTGGGTGGGAACAGAACACCTTTTCACATAAGCTGTTGTCCATCCCCCATCCCTGACACCATCACCCAGGAGCTGGGGAGTAATGGGGAGCTGGAGGAAGACACCACAAAGTTCACACCTCCCAAGAGGGTTTCGGAGTTTGAACCATACCCTGTGCCGCCAATCTTTCTTACACTCTTGAGTATAGAAATTCCAAGGCAAGACTGCCTGGGCCCTCAGAGTTAGACAAATGCGAGGAGCTAGGAGAAGCTCATGATGTCCCCCATGCAGGGGCGGCCCCAGGCTTCCCCTGCCATCCAGGGCAGGACAGCAGCCCCAGGGGAACTGTACCTGCTGCTGCTCTGCCACTTTCCTCATTTTGCTCTCCAGGGTGGTATGCAGTCCCCAGCTCAGGCCTGTGCAGATGGGAAATTCTCCCCTCCAGCCAGCAGGGGAGATGGGTTATGGGATATGACCTCCTGGGTATCAGGCAGTGTGAACCTGCCGCCTCCAGCTCTGATCCAGTCTCACTCAGGGGCTACAGGAAGCTGTGTGTTCGCTTTGGTGGGAGGAGAGGCGCAGGGAGCTCTGTCTTCTCCACCTGTGAAAAACTGAAGGATGTGGAGAAGAGTAGACCGCAGAACCCTGCCTTCTGCAGCCAAGCTGAGGGCAGGCTGTGTGGGGGCAGTGTCGAGAGGGTGGATGGACTCGTAGGCTGCAGCAGAGGCCGCTGTGTCCCTGGACATTGCCTCCGTCCTTTCTTCTCCTTGCTTCACTGGCCACAGTGTCTCCCTCCAGCCCTCGGCATGTTCTTCTACCATCTTCACCCGTCATGGAGCAGAGGTGAGGAAAGGCAGCTTGGGAACACAAAGACCAGTGAAGGACCAGGTCTGGACAGCACAGGGTCCTCCCTGGGCATCCAACAGAGGCGCCCATAAACGCCGGAGCACCCCAAGAGGAGGGAGCACAGCCAGCCTCCATCGACGGCAAGCCTCCAGCCCCTCGTACTTTGATCACCATTTCTCTCCAGTCTTTCTGCCTCCGACATGGGGCACCGTCAGTGCAGTGCCCTGCGGCTTCAGCGCCCTACTTCCTCCTCCCAGCCTGTAATGTTTATATAAGCAGACTCAAGGACCAAGAGCCAGCTGTGGAAGGACACACACAGGAAATTCATAAAGGAAATTCTAATGGTTAAAACCCCGAACCAAATGTATGCTTCATTAGTAATTAAAGAAAGGCAAATAGAGCTGAAAGCGTTTTTCCCTTAGCAAACCATCACAGAAAAAAATAAGACCCAGTATTGGCAAAGAGACTGCTAAAATAACATGCCCATACATTGTGTGTGGGAGGATAGATTGGTGCTGGCTTCCTGGACGGCAGTTTGGTGATGTGTGCCATGTAGCCTAAAAGCGTCCATGTCCTTTGACCTACTAATTCTATGTTTGGGAATTTATCCTAAGAAAATAATTAAGGATTTAGTTAGTTATAAGATGTTCATCCCAGCGCTGCAATGGAGAAAAATGGGAACCAATGGTGTGGTTGGGAATTCATTCCTTTTCTGCTGTAATGAAAGTTTGCAATAGGGGATTACTTAAGTAAATTATTGTATATCCATCCAGATGGTGGAGTACTGCACAGACATTAAAAGTCATGTAAAAGAACATCTGACAGAAAAATGCTCCTTGAATATTAAGAGGTTGTAAAAATAGCGCATGTTATGTGATCTCAATTTTGTTTTTTAAAACCTGGGTTTATACTTACTGTTTACATAGAACAGATAAAGACTGAAGGCATACTAAAAAATGTTTAGTGGTTATCTTTGGATAGTGGAATAAAATTGTGATTTTCATCTTTGGTTTTTCTGTAATTTCCAAATTTTCTACATGAATGGTGTATGACTTTCATATAATAAATATAATTTAAGAGATCAGTGTTATTATTTAAAGCTTTGGAGAAGTGGGTGTAGAAGAAGGAAGGGAAGACCTCAGTTTTCTGGTGAGAAGGTTTGCTTGGGGTGCTTCCTGGTTGATGAAGTTCATTCTTGGAAGTAGCTGGAATCCTCCCTCTCAGCCTACAGGAAAACAGCGCTGGATTGCTGGCTGTCGGCCAGGTAAAGAGGGGCGGAGTGGGGTAGGTGGAAGGAAAGCACAGACCTGTATGTAGCTCTTCAGGTGGTGAGGGGCTGGGGAGGCTCTTCCTCTTAAGGCTAGGTGGAGGGTTCTAGAATCCTAACAGCCCTGCTACTGAAAGCAGGACAGCTCTGTCTCTTCTGACTGCCCCGGCCTTGAAGGGACCCCGTGTTACCTTTCCTTGCCCTCGGATTGAAAGGTATCCTACCCACCCACCTGGTACCAAAGCCCCTGGGGAAGGGGTGCTATTCAGGACTGTGGTAGCCAGCGGTTCCCTTTTGCCTCCTCTTCCTGATAAGGCTCCTCTGTGGGGCCGAAAAAAATGCGGGGCGGGGTGGGGTCCAGTGGGTCCCTTCTCCAACAGGGGGTTTCCTGGGCGTTGCAGGGGCAAACTCCTGGAGTTACAAGTTTGCTGGGTATGTTACAGGCCTGGAAACCTCAAGAGACAGAAAGGGTGGCTCCAAGAAAGCGCGGCGCCCAGTCCCCACCCCCGATGCTGGGAGGGAAGGGCAGGGCGGCGGCCAGGCTCCGGCAAACCTCCGCCTTCCAGGTGGTGGTGGCTACTGGTGACGCTCAGCAGGTGAAAGGCGCGGGAGTGGGAAGAGGAGGTCAAGGGTCGCGGGGTGGGGCCGGAGACCCCGGTCTGCAGCTCCGAGCGCTTCAGGACGCACGTAGCTGGGGAGGACCCCCGAGAGGCAGCGCGCGGTCTGGTGCCCGGAGCCCCCAACCGCTCTCCCGGGGTGGGGCGGGACGCCACCGGTTGCCAAGGCTCGGGGACAGCGGCCCCGCGGTTGCTCCAATCACAGCCCGGCCCGAGGAACAAGGCGTGGACCCGGGGAAAAGTTCCTGTGGATCCCAAAGGCGGGGCGCGGGGGAGGGCGCCCCGCCCTGCCCTGCCGGGTAGTGGGTTCCCAGTCCTCGCGGGGCCGCTGTTGCTTCCCGGTCGAGAGCGCGGGCGCTGAGGGGACCCACCCGGACCTCCCCCACCCGCCATGGCGCCCCCGGGGCTCCTCGTGACTGGCGCCTCCTTCCTGGCGTTCCGGGGGCTGCACTGGGGGCTGCGGCTGCTGCCCACACCGGGGCCCGCCGCTCGGGACGGCTGGCGGTGGCGGAACCTCTGCGTGTCCCTGGTGCACAGCCTGCTCTCGGGGATCGCGGCGCTGCTCGGGTGCGGCCTTGGGGGTTCAAGGCGCACTGGGCGGGGGTGGGGGTGGAAGGCTGAGGTCGGGAGGCCCGGAGTAGAGACTGGGGTGGGGGCGCGCGTGGCGGGAGGGCGGAGCCGGGGCTTCGGGGTGCTGACCATGCCTCCCCGGTGTCCCCAGGCTGATCCTGCACCCTCAGATGGCCGCCGACCCTATCCAGAGCCACCCGCGCTGGGCCCTGGTGCTGGTAGCGGTGTCTGTAGGTGAGTCTGCAGCGAAGGCTGGGGGGTTGGGGGAAGGGAGCAGCCTCTGCCGTCCTGCGAGGTCCCTTTCCCCTCCCCCATAGGGGTTAAACATTCCTGAAGGCTTTACCCAGGGAAACTTAAGAACTGGGGTGGGGGGGCTGGAAATCCGCTCTAAGCCGCCCTGCTCTGGAGAAGCCTAAGCCCCCACCCCCTTGCCCAAAGGTTATTTCCTGGCCGATGGAGCTGACCTGCTGTGGAACCAGCCCCTGGGCAAGACCTGGGATCTCCTCTGTCATCACTTGGTGGTGAGACTCTGAGGGGAGAAGCCAGACCAGGGGGTGGGAGGGGGGGAGCCCTGTCCAGCCTGAGGCTCCCAATCTCTCTTCACTCTTCTTTTTCTTTTTTTTTTTTTTTCCTGAGATGGAGTCTCACTCTGTTGCCCAGGCTGGAGTGCAGTGGTGGGATCTCAACTCTGCAACTGTCGCCGCTGGGGTTCAAGTGACTCTCCTGCCTCAGCCTCCCATGTCGCTGGGATTACCAGTGCATACCACCATGACCAGCTAAGTTTTATATTTTTAGTAGAGACAGGGTTTTGTCATGTTGGCCAGACTGGTCTTGAACTTCTGACCTCAGGTAATCTGCCCGCCTTGGCCTCCCAAAGTGCTAGAATGACAGGCGTGAGCCACCGTGCCCAGCTCTCTCTTCATTTTTCTGTCCTATCACTTCCCACAGAGTCTTTGCCCTCAGCTGGTGCTTTGCTCCCCAGTCTTAGGCTGAGTTAGAGGGAGGAGGTGCTCCCGGCCACAGCGGGGGAGTCCAGACACCCACCATGCTTGGGGAGTTCGGACCCCCAAGGATGTCCAGCTGATCACAGAAGTGTGGACTATGGAGCTTTTCTGAGAAGAGGGAGCACTGGTATAGGGTGTGGGTATGGGGCATGGAACCCCAGAAATGGGAAGTTAAGGGGGGTGAGGGGGCGAGACAGCCCCTCCCTGGGCCAAGCCCTGTTCCATCTATGGAAGGGCTGGGTTTTTTTGTTGTTTTTTTTGAGACGGTGTCTCGCTCTGTCGCCCAGGCTGGAGTGCAATGGCAAGATCTCGGCTCACCACAACCTCTATCTCCCAGGTTCAAGTGATTCTCCTGCCTCAGCCACCTGAGTAGCTGGGATTACAGGCATGTGCCACCATGCCCAGCTAATTTTGTAGTTTTAGTAGAGACAAGAGTATCTCCATGTTGGTCAGGCTGGTCTCGAACTGCTGACTTCAGGTGATCCGCCTGCCTCGGCCTCACAAAGTGCTGGGATGGCAGGTGTGAGCCACCACACCTGGCCAGAAGTGTTTTTTGTTTTTTTTTCCGAGACGGAGTTTCGCTCTTGTTGCCCAGGCCGGAGTGCAATGGCGCAATCTTGGCTCACCACAACCTCCGCCTCCTGGGTTCAAGCAATTCTCCTGCCTCAGCCTCCTGAGTAGCTGGGACTATAGGCAGGCGCCACCATGCCCAGCTACTTTTTGTATTTTTAGTAGAGACGGGGTTTCACCTTGTTGACCAGGATGGTCTCGATCTCTTGACCTCGTGATCCACCCGCCTCGGCCTCCCAAAGTGCTGGGATTACAGGCGTGGGCCACCGCGCCCGGCCAGAAGTGTTTTAAGGATGCTCAGGGCCCCAGGATAAGGGCAGGAATAAAGGTCAGGTGTTTGGGGAGTCCCACTAAATGCATGGAAGCCTCTTTCTGACGCCCTGGGCTATTGGGACATTGTAGCCAGCAGGTCTTGGGGGTCCTCTGACCTCTGACCCTGGCTCCCAGGTAGTGAGCTGCCTCAGCACTGCTGTTCTGTCCAGCCAGTACGTGGGCTTCTCCATGGTGTCTTTGCTCCTGGAGCTGAACTCTGCCTGCTTGCACCTGCGGAAGCTGCTGCTGCTTTCTCGCCAGGCTCCGTCCCTGGCCTTCAGCGTGACCAGCTGGGCCTCCTTGGCCACCCTGGCCCTCTTCCGCCTGGTGCCGCTGGGATGGATGAGTCTGTGGCTGCTCCAGCAGCGCCACCAGGTTCCTCTTGCTCTGGTCATCCTGGGTGGAGTTGGGCTGGCCACTGTGGGCGTCATGAGCATTGTATTGGGTATCCGCATCCTCGTCAGTGACGTTCTGCGGTTTCGACCCCATCCATCCATCCCCAGGCATGAGAAAACCAGGAGGACCAGGACACGTGGTGACGATGGACCCGTCACCAGGGACAGTTCCACTATCAACCTGAAAGACTAGAGAGAAGCCATGGCCTCTCCCTGGGGGAGATGAGGCCAGGGCCAGGGCCAGAAGATGACGGTCTTCAGTGCACAGTCCCCATCAGGGTGAGGCACACTGACTATCAGCATCTCAGGGTGTCTTCCAGCTAACTCACATCCCTTCCCCTTCCTAGGATCTAAGAAGAAATGCTGATGTTGGGCCAGGTGTGGTGGCTCATGCCTGTAATCCCATCACTGTGGGAGGCTGAGGCCGGCGGATCACCTGGGGTCAGGAGTTCAAGACCAGCCTGGCCAACATGGAGAAACCCCATCTCTACTAAAAATACAAAAATTAGCTGGGCGAGGTGGCTCACGCCTGTAATCCCAGCACTTGGGAGGCTGAGGTGGGCAGATCACCTGAAGTCAGGAGTTCAAGACCAGACTGGCCAATATGGTGAAACCCCGTCTCTGCTAAAAATACAAAACTTAGCCAGGCATGATGGCTCGAGCCTGTAGTGCCAGCTACTCAGGAGGCTGAGGCAGGAGAATGGCTTGAACCCAGGAGGCAGAGGTTGCAGGAGCCGAGATTGCACCACTGCACTCCAGCCTGGGCGACAGAGCAAGACTCCATCTCAAAAAAAAAAAAAAAAAAAAAAGCTGATGTTGGATGGGTGGGAACCTGGGTTTCTGCTCACTGAAATGCATCATCAGATGAGGACCCTTTCCAGCAAACATACTCAAGAGGCACAGCCGGAACTATTGGTAAGGGATGGCAGGAGGCATGAAGCTGGAAGAAACTGCCAGTGGAGACAGAAGCTCTTTGCTTTAGCCGAGGGACAGATGAGGGAAGGCAAGGTCCTAGTAGGACCAGTGGGATCTGGTATGGAGTGGGCAGGGTCAGAGAGAAAAGAGTCTCACCTATAACCAAACTCTGGCAGTGGGAGGAAGGCACAGGTGGTGCTTTCTGTAGCCAGCAGAGATGGACGTGATAGTTGCCAAGAGACAGAGCCTGGGCCACGGCAATTGCTGCTGATATTTCTGGTTCTCAAACCACGCTCCTGTTTGTTTGCTCTTTGAGATAGAGTCTCGCTCTGTAGCCCAGACTGCCGTCCAGTGGCGTGATCTCGGCTCACTGCAACCTCCGCCTCCTGGGTCCTGGTTCAAGCAATTCTACCTCAGCCTTCCAAGTAGCTGGGATTACAGGCACGAGCCACTGTGCCCAGCTAATTTTTGTATTTTTTAGTAGAGACAGGGTTTCACCAGGTTGGACAGTCTGGTCTTGAACTCCTGACCTTGTGATCTGCCTGCCTCAGCCTCCCAAAGTTCTGGGATTACAGGCGTGAGCCACCGCACCTGGCCTTTTTTTTTTTTTTTTTTTTTTTGATGGAGTCACTCTGTCACCCAGGTTGCAGTGTAGTGCCACAGTCTCGGCTCACTGCAACGTCTGACTCTTGAGTTCAACCTCTGCCTCCCAGGTCCTGCCTTAGCCTCGCAAGTAGCTGGGGATTAGAGGCACGCGCCACCAAGCCCAGCTAATGTTTGTATTTTTTGGTGGAGATGGAATTTCGCTATGTTGCCCAGGCTGGTCTCGAACTCCTGACCTCAAGTGATCTGCCTGCCTCGGTCTCCCAAAGTGCTGGGATTACAGGCGTGAACCACTGCACCTGGCCCACTCTCCTGTTTTTCTACTTAACCCTGGTCCTACTGTGTCTAGTCTTTTTTTTTTTTTTTTTTTTTTTTAGTATCTTTTGACTTGACTTTTTTTTTTTTTTGAGACAAGTTCTCCCTCTGTAGCCCAAGATGGAGTGCAATGGCTTGATTTCAGCTCACTGCAACCTCTGCCTTCCAGGCTCAAGCAATTCTCCTGTCTCCCGCTTCAGCCTCCCAAGTAGCTGGTACTACAGGTGCACACCACTGCACCAGGCTAATTTATGTGGGTTTTTTTTTTTTTTTTTGATATGGAGTTTCACTCTTGTTACCCAGGCTGGAGTGCAGTGGCGCGATCTCGGCTCACTGCAACCTCCTCCTCCTGGGCTGAAGCAATTCTCCGGCCTCAGCCTCCCGAGTAGCTGGGGACTAAAGGTGTGTGCCACCACACCGGGCTAATTTTTGTATTTTTAGTAGAGACAGGGTTTCTCCCTGTTGGCCAGGCTGATCTTGAACTCCTGACCTCAAGTGATCCGCCCACCTTGGCCTCCCAAAGTGCTGGGATTATAGGCGTGAGCCACTGCACCCAGCCAAAACAATTTTTTTTAATTAAAAAAAAAAAAGTTAGCCTGGCGCGGTGGCTCACGCCTGTAATCCTAGCACTTTGGGAGGCTGAGGCGGGTGGATCACGAGGTCAAGAGATCGAGACCATCCTGGTCAACGTGGTGAAAACCCGTCTCTACTAAAAATACAAAACATTAGCTGGGCATGGTGGTTGTGCCTGTAATCCCAGCTACTCAGGAGGCTGAGGCAGGAGAATTGCCTGAACCCGGGAGACGGAGGTTGCGGTGAGCTGAAATCGCACCACTGCACTCCAGCCTGGGTAACAAGAGCGAAACTCCGTCTCAAAAAAAAATTCTGTCTTCAGACTTCAATTTTCCATCTTAACTGAATGCCTTGGTTAACAAAATGTTATCTGTCTTGAGTTTTTTTAAAAAAAGAAATGTGACGAACTCATGTGAGGAATGTGTTCGCTAAACATGTATTGTGGTTGATGTTAATTCATTCTAAGTCATACCCCTTTTCTGTGGCTGCTAGCATACATTCATGACGGTATGACTGAGTAGCCCTCTTGGTAACACTTGATAGTGTCTATGAGGGTGCGCAGGAATTTGACCATTAGGAAAACATGGCTGTTTCTGTGGATTAACTAGTCAAACCCCTACAGAAAGAGTGAGATTAGCTCCTAGTTGGGGCAGGACGTAGTGGACACGTGGAAGTTTGGGAACACACGAATTGCTACCATGCTGAGCCAGTGAAACTTCAGGAAGGTGGGACTGGATTGTGATTATAATTGAGTGAGTAGGCGTAGAATTGGAGTGTGGGCAACATAAAAATGATGTCAATGAAAGAAGAATGGTCAATTAAGACCCTAAAAAAGGGGCCGGGAGAGGTGGCTCACGCCTGTAATCCCAGCTACTTGGGAGGCTGAGGCAGGAGAATTATTTGAACCTGGGAGGCGGAGGTTGCAGTGAGCCAAGATCGAACCATTGCACTCCAGCCTGGGCAGCAAGAGTGAAACTCTGTCTCAAAGAAAAAAAAAAAATCCCTCAAAATGGAAGTTCAGACATGCAGAGGTTGCCAGATGCTACATTTGGTAGGAGTCTGCTCAACAAGGCAGTGCTCTGTCAGACCTTACCTCGCCCAGGGAAATGGTCCTCAAGACAGACTCCATGCCTACCCAGAGCTTTCAAGTGATTTCTCTGTCCTCCAGGACAGGGAAGGGTTTTCTGGATGGGATACATTGATGTTTTCTGATCCTTGAACACTATCCTGATTATAAATTGATAAATTGCTATGCAAATAATTGCCTCCATCTCTTGTGAGTGTGGTTGCCTTGAGTTACTTTTTGGCTCCGAGGGTGTCCTGATTTACAATTTGATGCTTGATTGTGGAGGTCCACCCTGAAGCGTCCTGCTGTCGTCTACAATCAAAAAGCAAATCCTGGTCCCAGCTACTCAGGAGGCTGAGGCAGGAGAATCTCTTGAACCCAGGAGGTGGAGGTTGCAGTGAGCCAAGATCATACCATTGCACTCCAGCTTGGGCAACAAGAGCGAAACTCCAGGCCAGGCGAGGTGGCTCATGCCTGTAATCCCAGCACTTTAGCAGGCCGAGGTGGGTGGATCATGAGTTCAAGACCAGCCTGGCCAAGATGGTGAAACCCCGTTTCTACTAAAACTACAAAAATTAGCTGGGCGGGGTGGCAGGCGCCTATAATCTCAGCTACTCGGGAGGCTGAGGCAGGAGAATGGCTTGAACCCAGGCAGCAGAGATTGCAGTGAGCTGAGATTGCACCACTGCACTCCAGCCTGGGAGACTGAGTACGACTTCATCTTAAAAAAAAAAAAAAAAAAGTGAAACTCCATCTCAAAAAAAAGAAAAGAAAAAACAAATACAAAAAAAAAACAAGGTTCTGAGAGGTCAAATAATTTACCCTAGTTAGTGATAGGACTTGGAGTCAAACCCATGTTCTTTTTTTCTCTTATACCACCTGTGACCCACATCTGTCATTTTGCCTGCCTGGCATTGAAGGAGTTTTCCTTTGAAAACCACCCCCTTTTTTTTTTTCCTAATTTGAGACAGTATCTGTCGCCAGGCTGGAGCGCAGTGGCGCAATCTCGGCTGACTGCAATCTCCACCTCTCATGGTCAAGCGATTCTCCTGCCTCAGCCTCCTGAGTAGTTGGGATTACAGGCGTGCACCACCACACCCAGCTAATTTTTTGTATTTTTAGTAGAGATGGGGCTTCACCATGTTGGCCATAATGGTCTTGATCTCCCGTCCTCATGATGCCCACCTCAGCCTCCCAAAGTGCTAGGATTACAGGCGTGAGCCACCACGCCCAGCTGAAAACCACCCCTTTCTCACTGTGCCGCCGATGGGCGTGTGACCCAGGCCGAGTCAGCTGGAACACCGTATCCGCTTTTGCTGAACTGAGCTCATGACATGAGGGGAGACTGTGACTTCTGCTAGAGTTTTGGCCAAGATGCAGCGTAGCTGTTCTGACCTTGCTAACCCAGATGTAAGAGTGCTTCCCTGGGCATGAAGCCAACATAGAAAAACAAGACTCAAAAGGTGGAGGCTGGGCGCGGTGGCTCACACCTGTCATCCAGCACTTTGGGAGGCAGAGGCGGGCAGATCACGAAGTCAGGAGTTCAAGACCAGCCTCACAACATGGTTAAACCCCCGTCTCTAGTAAAAATACAAAAATTAGCCGGGCGCGGTGGCTCAAGCCTGTAATCCCAGCACTTTGGGAGGCCGAGGCGGGTGGATCACGAGGTCAAGAGATCGAGACCATCCTGGTCAACATGGTGAAACCCTGTCTCTACTAAAAATACAAAAATTAGCTGGGCATGGTGGCACGCGCCTGTAATCCCAGCTACTCGGGAGGCTGAGGCAGGAGAATTGCCTGAACCCAGGAGGCGGAGGTTGCGGTGAGCCGAGATCGCGCCATTGCACTCCAGCCTGGGTAACAAGAGCGAAACTCCGCCTCAAAAAAAAAAAAAAAAAAAAAAAATACAAAAATTAGATGGGCATGGTGGTGCGTGCCTGTAATCCCAGCTGCTGGGGAGGCTCAGGTAGGAGAATCACTTGAACCCAGGAGGCAGAGGTTGCAGTAAGCTGAGATTTCACCACTGCACTCTAGCCTGGTTACAGAATAAGACTCCGTCAAAAAAAAAAAAAAAAAAGGCCAGCTCAGTGGCTTGTAATTCCAGCACTTTGGGAGGCAAAGACAGCAGATAACCTGAGGTTGGGAGTTCAAGACCTGCCTGACCAACATGGAGAAACCCTGTCTCTGCTAAAAATACAAAAAATTAGCTGGATGTGATGGTGGATGCCTATAATCCTAGCTACTCGGGAGGCTAAGGCAGGAGAATCGCTTGAACCTGAGAGGTGGAGGCTGCAGTGAGCCAAGATCCTGCTGCTGCACTCCAGCCTGGGCGACAGCGCAAGGCTCTGTCTTAAAAAAAAAAAAAGTGGGGGGCCGGGCGCGGTGGCTCACGCCTGTAATCCCAGCACTGTGGGAGGCCGAGGCGGGTGGATCACGAGGTCGAGAAATCGAGACCATCCTGGTCAACATGGTGAAACCCCGTCTCTACTAAAAATACAAAAATTAGAGGCCGGGCGCGGTGGCTCAAGCCTGTAATCCCAGCACTTTGGGAGGCCGAGGCGGGTGGATCACGAGGTCAAGAGATCGAGACCATCCTGGTCAACATGGTGAAACCCCGTCTCTATAAAACTACCAAAAATTAGCTGGGCATGGTGGCAGACTCCTATAATCCAAGCTACTCGGGAGGCTGAGGCAGGAGAATCGCTTGAACCTGAGAGGTGGAGGCTGCAGTGAGCCAAGATTGCGCCATTGCACTCCAGCCTGGGTAAAAAGAGCAAAACTCCGTCTCAAAAAAAAAAAAAAAGAGAAAAGTTGAGAAGCTGCCTATTACTCAGAAACAGGATGCCAAACATGGAAATAAACGTGGAAATACAACATGAAAATGAATGCCAAATAATCAGCAAAAATGGGTGAAAGTGCTTTGTTTCTTTTCTTTCTTTCTTTCTTTCTTGAGACGGAACCTCACTCTGTCGCCCAGGCTGGAATGCAATGGCTCAATCTTGACTCACTGCAACTTCCATCTCCCAGCTTCAAGCAATTCTCCTGCCTCACCCTCCCAAGTAGCCAGGATTACAGGCGCCCGCCATCACGCCCAGCTATTTTTTGTATTTTTAGAAGAGACAGAGTTTTACTATGTTGGTCAGACTGGTCTCGAACTCCTAACGTCAGGTGATCCACCCACCCTTGACTTCCCAAATTGCTGGGATTACCACAAGGCCCTGTCTAAAACCTCTTCCTTCTGTGGGCCTCTCCCAACTTCTCCAGCTGTTCCTCCCTGGCTTTTTCCCGGCCTTCTCCCCTCTCTCTGGCTGTGTGTGTCTCTGGCCTTCTCACCTGGTTTCGCCTTACTCCTTCAGTGAACTGATTCCTTCTCATGCCAGTGGTATCACCTTCGGTCTGATGACTAAGCCTCTCGCCTGAGTTTCTGGACTACCATTTGTGTATTTCTTGCCCAAGGACACCTTCGTTTGTATAAACCACAGTCACCTCTAAGTTCTGGGTTCTATTTATTTATTTATTTTATTTCTGAGACAGAGTCTAGCTCTGTTGCCCAGACTGGAGTGCAATGGCACAATCTCAGCTCACTGCAACCTCCACCTCCTGGTGCAAACGATTCTCCTGCCTCAGCCTCCCAAGTAGCTGGGATTACAGGCCTGAGCAACCATGTCCAGCCACGGAATGCAAATTTTATGTCAATAATGATCTTTTGAAAATAGTACAGACAGTTCCTTTGAACCGTTCACTCAGCTTGAGAACTTTTTTTTTTTTTTTTTTTGGAGAGAGTCTCATTAGGTCACTCAGGCTGGAGTGCAATACAGCGATCTCGGCTCACTGCAACCTCCACCTTCTGTTGCAAGCGACTCTTGTGTCTCACCCTCCCAAGCAGCTGGGATTCCAGGCATGCACCACTATGCCCCACTAATTTTTGTATTTTAGTAGAGATGGGATTTCACCATGGTGGTCAGGCTGGTCTCGAATTCCTGACCTCAGATGATCCATCTGCTTCAGCCTTCCGAAGTGCTGGGATGACAGGCGTGAGCTTCCACACCTGGTCGGGAACTTCTTACATAACCATAGTGCAACAATCAAACCAGGAAATTGACACTGGTACAATACTCTTCTTTCTGAGATGGAGTTTTGCTCTCGTCCACCCAGGCTGGAGTGTAGTGGCACGATCTTGGCTCACTGCAACCTCCACCTCACAGGTTCAAGTGATTCTCCTGCCTCAGCCTCCTAAGTAGCTGGGATTACAGGCACCTGGCACCACGCCCAGCTAATTTTTGTATTCTTGGTAGACATGGGGTTTCACCATGTTGGCCAGGCTGGTCTCAAACACATGACCTCAGGTGATCTGCCCACCTCAGCCTCCAAAGTGCTGGGATTACAGGAGTGAGCCACTGCGCCCGGCTGGTACAACACTCTTTTTTTTTTGTTTTGTTTTTTTTTGTTTTTTTTTTTTTTTTTGAGACGGAGTTTCGCTCTTGTTACCCAGGCTGGAGTGCAATGGCGCGACCTCGGCTCACCGCAACCTCCGCCTCCTGGGTTCAGGCAATTCTCCTGCCTCAGCCTCCTGAGTAGCCGGGATTACAGGCACGTGCCACCATGCCCAGCTAATTTTTTGTAGTTTTAGTAGAGACGGGGTTTCACCATGTTGACCAGGATGGTCTCGATCTCTTGACCTCGTGATCCACCCGCCTCGGCCTCCCAAAGTGCTGGGATTACAGGCTTGAGCCACCGCGCCCGGCCAACACTCTTAATGAAACTACAGACCATATTAGGATTTCACCAGGGCTTAGAGCAATGTCTGGGACATAGTGAACCTCATACAGGTGGTAACAACTTCACTACAATGGTAATGAAGATGATAATGGTGATGCTAGAAAGCACAGCCAGATTGATCTGCTGCCTATTTTCAGAGCACACCATTTAAGTTTCTTTATTTTATTTTTTGAGGCAGAGTCTTACTCTGTCTGGAGTGCAGTGGCTCGATCTCTGCTCACTGCAACCTCTGCCTACCAGGTTCAAGTGATTCTCCTGCAGCAGCCTCTCCAGTAGCTGAGATTACAGGCATGCGCCACTACGCCCAGCTAATTTTGTATTTTTAGTAGAGATGGGGTTTCTCCATGTTGGTCAGGATGGTCTTGAACTCCTGACCTCAGGTCATCTGCCTGCCTCGGTCTCCCAAAGTGCTGGGATTACAGGCATGAGCCATGGTGCCCAGCAGTTTCTATTTTTTTTTTTTTTTTGAGACGGAGTTTCACTCATGTTACCCAGGTTGGAGTGCAATGGCGCGATCTCGGCACACCGCAACCTCCACCTCCTGGGTTCAGGCAATTCTCCTGCCTCAGCCTCCTGAGTAGCTGGGATTACAGACACACACCACCATGCCCAGCTAATTTTTTGTATTTTTAGTAGAGACGGGGTTTCACCATGTTGACCAGGATGGTCTCGATCTCTTGACCTCGTGATCCACCCGCCTCGGCCTCCCAAAGTGCTGGGCAGTTTCTATTTTTAAACTCTTTTTTGGCCAGGTACAGTGGCTCACGCCTGAAATTCCAGCACTTTGGGAGGCCGAGGTGGGCAGATCACTTGAGCTCAGGAGTTCGAGATCAGCCTGGCCAACATGGTGAAACCTCATCTCTACTAAAAATACAAAAATTGCTGGGTGTGGTGGCAGGTGTCTGTAGTCCCAACTACTAGGGAGGCTGAGGCAGGAGAATCGCTTGAACCCGGGAGGCGGAGGCTGCAGTGAGCATTGCACTCCAGCCTGGGTAATAGAGCGAGACTCCATCTCAAACAAACAAACAAAAATTAGTGGGGCATAGTGGCGCATGCCTATCATTTTAGCTACTTGGGAGGCTGAGACCTAAGAATCACTTGCACCAGGACATGAAGGTTGCAGTGAGCCAAGATCGCGCTATTGCACTCCAGCGTGGGTGACAGAGGAGACTCTCTCTCAAAAAACAGTAAAAAACATTGACATCTCTTGCATTTTGTTCTAATTATTTCATTTTGATTTCTAAATTCTCAACTAGATTGAGGGGCTGTACGGGTTACAATTCCTCTGCATCCTCCACAATAAACTTGGTGGGAATTTCAGATTTTTTTTTTGTTTTGAGACAGAGTGTAGTGGTGTGGTCTCGGCTTACTGCAACCTCCACCTCCTGGGTTCAAGCGCTTCTCCTGCCTCAGCCTCCTGAGTATTGGGACTACAGGTACAAACCATTATGCCCAGCTATTTTTGGATTTTTAGTAGATAAGGTTTCACCATGTTGGCCAGGCTGGCCTCGAACTCTTAATCTCAAGTGATCCATTTGCCTCAGCCTCCCAAAGTGCTGGGAATACAGGAGTGAGCCACCATGCCCAGCCCTTGGTGGGAATTTCAAACAAATTTATCAGTTGACTAATATTCAGAGTTGTTTGTTGTGCGTGGTGGCTCACATCTGTAATCCCAACACTTTGAGAAGCTGAGGTGGGAGGATGGTTTGAAGCCAGGAACTTGACCAGTCTGGATACATAGCAAGACCCTATCTCTGCAAAAAAAATTTTAAAATTAGCTGGGTAGGCTGGGCGTGGTGGCTCACACCTGTAATCCAAGCACTTTGGAGGCCAAGGCGGGCGGATCACCTGAGGTCGGGT